TGTCATCCGCACTTTTTTGCCTTCAGGGTCGCCAAACTACCAGAAGTAGCAGGTAGATTCATCCCGCTCAGGTGAGAGTCAATGGTTTTATATTGATAATTGGGCACGATACCCCATTGTGAGCTTTGCAAGGAGTAAACAACAAGGAGTTAGGGTTGAAGTAAAGTAGTGAAGACTGTCCACTTGATCTTTAGATGGAACTCCATCTCATCCCAAGGGTAGAAAAAGACTTTGGATGAATTGTCACATCTTACCGAACACACTGTAGATCTAACAACGGCATTTTTTGATGACATCAATACAATTGGCTGAGTACCCTGGCGATCTGAAGCTTCTTAAGATAAACAGAGTAGTTTTGAAAATGGGATGGAAATAGATGATGACCAGGCAGTAAAACTTTTCACCCGACCAATGAAATACTCCGACTTTTAAGTCCGGGCCCATGTATTGAAGAAGTACTATATCTGAAGTAACAGTATGTATGCATTTAACAAATATATCGAAGGCCTTGTCTGAAAATGATATAATTTGACAAGGAGTGCGTGCTTTTCTCGACATCATAAATTGTTTATCTCCAGTTCCGGTTATTGCATTGTACCGTGCTACTGTAAATAACCTTGAGATGACATGACACAACACTTGACGGCATGATTTTGATTTTCAACCGCACTCTAAAGCTACTTATTCCGGTATTCGGAGCATAGAACTTTGAGACAAACAGTTAAAAATGCCTAGGTATTATCTACCATGGACTTAAAATAGTTTCGCACATAATCGTAATGTTCATGTAGATGTTGTAGAATATTCCAAATGATTTTCGATTGATACCGTTGAAGTATTAGATGTGCACAGAAGGGAAAAGTACACGATACATGGTATCGTATGGTGTAACCTTCCTAACACCTTAAGTTTCCCCTCCATGTATCGCATGAAAAAGATTCTTACCGGGCGACCGGGGTAGGACATAGCCCGAAGAGATTCAACCAATGGTTTCAAAGTCCACATGCAGATATACCTGAGGAGTGATTGCATTACTGTGCTGACAGCAAGCCCCGGAGGCCCACGGGTAGATGTAGGTGATGTGTAGTTAGGTAAACATGTGAAGAATACATCGGATGAAAATTTGAAGAAAGAATGAACCGATCTGCTTCAGGGTCTGTTGGAAAAAGGTGGAATCTGAATGGGATCCTAACGCCCAATATAGAAGCACGGGCATTTGAATGTGTTTGATCTCCTCATTTGTTCCATCTCACGTCAGAGAATATATCATAACCACGAATCAGATGAGGATAGACTTACAATGAATCTGAAGTTTTAAGTTTAGGATATACACAGCCACTTGGCTAACCGATTCAGCAGCTAGATGGCTTCTAGATACTGTATCAGCTTCAGCAGTAATATTGTTCAGATACAATACAGAAACTGTGTTGCATGAACCGAAGCACCTAGGGACTATCCGTACGGTGTACACGGCGCAGAGTACGGTGGTTAGATGATGTTTATTTTGTCGGATGGCACATTCTGAGCCCAGCGCTCGTGTCTGTGCTGTGCTGTGCTGCGATGGGGTGTGCTGTGGTGTGGTGTGATGTATATCCTAACGAGGAGAAATATGAGAAATTCTCGTCCTTATTTTTCCTTCCTTCTTCCTTCTTCTGCTTCTTCTTCTCTCCGACCCCTTCCAACTCTGAACAAATCAAATCCTGATCTCCTCCAAGCATCTATTTTAATGAACCCGCAGGCGGGAGGGGAGGTCTATTCGCTAGATTGTCCGTGAAAGGAAGAAGGTATAGCGATACCTATAAACACTAAACATTGACTTGACATCCATCTAGATACCTAGCCAGGCACTAGGTACTGTCTGAATGAAGAAGATTCGAGACTTCCAGATATGACGGTCATAACCAACGGATATCTATTACCATATTGGGAAGGACATTGAGATTAATCTGCTATACGCAGTAAATATAAGGTAAACGGGCTCGGAGAATTACCTTGGTGTGAACGGAGTGGAAAAGTATAATGAAGATTGATTTCCCATTATAGTTTAGCTTCTGCTATAAAAAGCAGGCGTCTGTACTAAATTTAAATTTGGGCGATTTGGATAATGCACGCACACAGCACGCAGCACACATTAATACCTACGAACCTTGTGTAGGTAATCCCAGCAAAACATGAAACGAAAGCTCGGCCACTAATCATGAGTTTTGACCAATTAAAATTAAATTAACGGTAAGATACATTTTTCTCAATTTTTTCTTTTTTCCCTCTCTCATCAATATTCACTTCACTTATCTCATACCTCAATCTAGCCACTCACACATAACTCATGGATGCATATATTCTCCGGAAGCGATTCCATTCAGACCTCAGAATTTGGTGACGACATGGTACCACTATGTGACGACGCATATTCTTTTTGATCTCAATGGCAATTACGAAGATGTACGATGTAGTGTACCAAATAAAAGGATCAATAAAGAGAATTGCCATGGACCCCAGCCACCTCCGATACGTACGTATGTATGTGTGTGTGTGTGTGTGTGTGTGTCTGTCTGTATGTAATGTACTATATTGTATTCTACTTACTGTATTGTACTGTATACAGAACAAATGCTTTTCTCCGTACTCATTTGTGTTGACGATGGATGGATGTGTTGGCAAGCAACAACACAAACCATAACCTGGCAGAAGCACGAGCTGAACACAGCGAGAATAAACTCTCCATCTGATTTGAGATAGGATTGGATATACACACGTCTTATGAACATAAGGTAGAAAGACATACCTACTTCCCGTAAGTACTTTTTTGCCATGCAAATAACCCTTCTGCAGCTGTCATCTGTCGTTCCACAGCATAGTCACGATGGCAAGACAACTTATTCATAGGTCAGCCTCATGTACATTCTCCCCTTACAGCTCTTTATACGAAGGTACATTTTTGCTTCCGCGTGGCTGCAGGCATCGAACCAAAACTCCATCATCTATCCAGCCCACTATCATCTAGCCTATCAGCACATTGGCAAAGTTTAGAAACGACTTGCTAAAACACCCGCACATACCACACCCGAATTTGGTGTAATTTCGTCTTTTGTTGAACGGAAAACTACCCCCCTCAACAACAAAAAAACTTGTATCGAAGTATCGAAGTATCTCATCTATTTTGAGTACTCTTTTCATTTGCACAAGCTTGCACCAATTTGAAAGGCCCTTCATAGCCATCACTCACTGCTATTTAGTGTTTACCTTCATTAAACTATAGTAGTAAGAGACGATGCACTCGGACTGCCGAACTGCATCTGTCCGTGAGATCACTGGTCAGACACCCAGTCAAATTGAAACGATTGAACGAATTTCCGAAATCGACCACTAGACTTCATATCAAACATGTCATTCTAGAAGTTGGCGAAGTTTGTTTGGTGGTTCTTCAATCTTGAATCATGCAAATTCAACAAATGTATCTTTTGACTGATTTATGGAAACATTGGCCAAGTCAACTCCGTTATTGCTTCTACTCCATATGTTCCACACTTTGATTTTTCGCATCAGCTTCTCAAAGTAGCTTGTGTGGAGAATTGGGGTCAATCGTGTGTTGTGTCAATTGTGATTCACCATAACCCGGGTGAAGAAGATCCAAGTGTTCAGATGATGATCCCCATCTAAAGGAAATCTCGAAACATGGCGGACCACACTGCCACACGGCCGCTATGCATGGATCTAAAATTTCCCTACCGAGCACAAGGGCCAAGAATTCTATGGGTTCACCCATAAACAGGAAAAACTCGACCAAGAGACCCCTGGACTACTATCGACAAGGCTCCGAAGATGGGACCCAGTTTAGCTAGCCTACCCAGTCAGCATGGATCAAGTGTATAACAAGAGTATAGAGTGTGGGGAATCTTAACATCAAACACTGGACAAAGTCCCGTTTTGCTAGTGAACTCAATGCACTCAATGCCACTCATGCAAGTTCACCACTTCTAGCCCTCGGATTGGATCTTCACTCCTCACTGACCTTACTTCATATCCAGCATCCAATGTCTTTACAGTACCACTTAGGGTTATGCATGTCGCCGCCAGTTGCCTCTTCTTCTGTTGTTTCTTTATCATTATCCGGTCGCGCATACCCGAAGTAGCCCTACTTCATTCTTAGTAGTGTCCATCATCTTTCTTGGCTTCGTCCTATCTTTTCTGTCCACTCATTCGCTCGACTTCGGAATCAAATTTTGTTTGTCAATTTATCTCGACGTCAGTATATTCCGAACCTTGATATCCTCGATAAAGTCGCCTATTAACAACAGTTCAACTTATAGATCAAAGGACAAGATAAGACCCTTGGGAGATTCAAAAGTTGTCGAATTCTCGCCTTGCCTGATATATCGAACCTCCAAACGAGCAGATAGCTATCGTCCAAGCTGGAAAGCCTTAACGTTTCGACAAGACTTGAAGGCATAGAATTATCTCATTGTTTCCTCCGGACTTTAGGAGATCCCGCAAATCAGTTCCATCAGGTTAGATGTTTGGACGATATCAACGATACACCAAAGCTTCATAATAGGTGTTTCGAACGTGTCCGATGAGGTCAATGCATTGTCGGACGTCGATCCAAGAATTAGTCTAGCCTTGTCAATTCGCAAGAGCATTTTGGATCAGCACCACTGTTTTTACACAGTATCACTCTATCGAAGTCATTCTGAACAAGGGATACTCCCTGTCAATCAAGTCCATTAGTTCAGTACAAACTCTGAAACAGCCTGCATCATTCAATATACTTTATTGCCACATATCCTCCTCGACCTTCTTTTGAATTGAAAGGTCAACAATCAACCTTTATATCAAATCGACAAAGACTAATACTGATTCTAAACCTTTTCGCAACTTTGCAAGGCATTGGAGAAAGGAATATTCACTGCCAGAAGGCCTATTTGAAAGGCCAAGAAACAATACCCTGCAGCGCGGAGGATCTTTTAACTGAAAGCTCATATAACTTCATTCACTTCAAGATGGACGTAACATCGTTATTGAATTCCAACAGCGCTGCTGCTGAGCAGCAAAAGCGTCAAGGAGAACGATTCGTATTACCATCAAGAAATCGAACACCATGGGACGCAAATGGCTATTCACTACCAATCAATACATCAAATCATACGATTAATATCGGAGAGCTCGGTACAGGAAATGAGTTGAGTACGGTGAACAACGGCAATCCGAGAATTCACTGTTATGATTCACACGGGACGGATTCAGAAAGGTCACATCATAAATTCTCTGATAGTCGGAGCAGTTTATCTTCTTTCACATCAACAACCAACTCAACAGCCACCTCCTCTTCGAACCATTCTCGATTATCTTCTTTCAGTACGAACAACAGCCATCCTGTTAGTTTTTCACACAAGTACTGCAATTCTGCAGTGGAAAACTCTATAGATTTAAATTGTTCTTACTCTATTACCTCCCAAAATAAAGTCGAATCGCATTCAGCACCAACTTCTCCCCACAACACAAGAAAAATTAGCATCATGGTATCTAGTCCAACAGAGAACCTAGATGCTCTAGCTGCTTTAGCAGAACAAGAATCATCTCGATCATCTCCTAAGAACAATGATGCTCGTTCTCAAAGTGTCGTTGCTGCTCCAGGAGCTTCAGACCAGGTTGATTCTGTTAGAGAATCTGAGAGTCGACCTGGTTCTCCAAGTGATGCTATGTTGATCAGACGCCCGGATTTGCCACGTTTAAATACAGATACAAGTGATAACGGTTTCGAATCAGATCCGTAAGTTTATCCTCCGAACAATGATTTTTGGTCTGATAATTGTTTCAATCCAATGTTATTTTTACTATCTTGTGTACTTGACTAACATGAATTCAGTAGTAGCAATTTCTATCGCAGCGTTCCTATCGAGCTCAATAATGGTGCTATGAATCCTACATTGCACAAGAGAAACATTTCTGCACCAATTCTACGCCGACCAAGTCGTGTTCCAGCATCTGGTGTTGGTCCAATTCCCGAACTTACTCCACCTAACTCAACCCGTCTTACAAACCTACCATCACCATTGGATGATGATGAGGATGCAGAAGGTGATCCAGTCACACCACCACCAGCAGATGGAACTGATGCAGACACTCCTCCGGAGTGTATGTATATCCCTAACTGCGATACGGGATCGCAACCTCGCAAAGCTATCTCGCATATCTTTGGTCGCAATAAGATGTGCACTAGATTGATTCCACAATCTGTTTGGGTTCATTATTGTCGCAAGCATTACCAACGCTCCCGTTATCGTAACCCTAAGGAGTATGCCAAGTTACAGTGTGACTTGGTTCAGCAACAAATCCGTCGTGTTTACGACTGGTCTGCACAAAATAAGCGTCGCGGCGAACCCGGTACTATCAAAGATTGGGGTATTGCCATCAGAAAGCGTGAGCAGAAGCGTTTGGATGAACTTAAAGGTTCTGGTCGAAAGAGACGATTCGATGATGAGGATGAGGGCGATGATGATCAAGGTCCGCGTCCACCAACTGCTGTTCCGGATTGGCTCCTCTCTGTCATTGGATCAGGTTACACCACCGAGGAAATTCTCGAAATCTTCAACCGACTCCACCAAGAGGTTCTTGATGATCTTCTGCCATGCTTCCCAGACATTGAAATTTTGCCAAATATTACCGTTGACCAAGACGAGCCCAAGTCGCCAAAGGGATATGCTAAGCGCAAGATCTCTTCCGCAGGTCATAAGCGTTCCCAATCTCTTGGTGTAAGTGCGATGAAGGCTCAAAATTACGGCACTCCTTCAGGACAAGACCGTAGAATGAGTCAACCAGTCCAATTTCAAAGCCCAAACAATGGAGGAGTCCCTACATACAGCACTACCTTGAAGCGTCGTCGTCCTAATTCAAATGATGCTAACGCTCAAAATTTGCAATTCACACCCATTCCATCAAATTTCGAACGTCGCCGCTCATTCCAACCCGCCTTCAACACAGGTTTTGAGCGTATTGACGAAAATCATCAATCCTCTGTGATTGACAATGACTTCGAGTTTCCAAGAGGTCGTACACATGCTCGCGCTTCCTCTGTCTATCAATCACCATTAGCTGCACCTGTTGCTCGTCCATTGGGAATTCATCAAAACCAAGTCGAAACTCAAATTCAACATATGGAGACTGGCTTCAGTATGAATGGTGGAAGCATGAGCATGAATATGGGTATGCAAGGCATGCAAGGTCGTGTTCGTCCTTCGCATCAACGTTCCCAATCTGATATGATGGTTGGTCGAAATGCAATGCAACCAAACATGATGGTCCCAAACCTTATGTCTTCCCAAAACTTTAACAGCAATGTTGAGTTCTCTACTCCTCAATATCAACAATCAAGTTTTGCCCAAATGAATGATCCTCGTCAACAAGCTATCCGTCAAAGTTCGTATGGCATGCAACAACAGCAACAACAAAGTCGTCGTCAATTTGGTCAACAGCAACAATACCGTCAAGAATCTCCAGCTGGTAGCAGCGTTGCCAATAGCCCTATCGTAGGCCCAGTTAGTCAAGGTAGTAACTTCTCTACTCAGCAACGCTCCCAATCAACTGGTAGACGCGCCCAACAAAATCCTCAAATGCGAAGCAACCAGATGTATGAGGATAACACCCCCAGACGCCGCCAATACGAATAAGGCAACTAAGTCTTATAATCTATTTCACATTGATTTTTGATTTTGATTGCTTTCGGTTTTGGGACAATTGTTTTCGGATGGGCGCATACAATTTGCTTTATGATACCCATCTACACACTTAACTTTGCTACTTGCTTTATCTTCTCGGTTTTCTTTAATAATGGTTCTTCCTACATCGGACCATCGCATTCATTCAAAAGTTTGCTTCGCCTTGCTTCTGCTTGATTTTGCATTATTCCTTCGCAATGACAACAGCAACTACAATCTGATACTTACGGTCTCTTCTTCACTACTCTCCTCGAAACTCCAATCAGACGGTGACCATCAGCCAACTTCTTTAATCACATTGGTATCACATTGGTTGTCACTCAAAGATATCTTACAAACTTGTAAATTCGGAGGGAATGGTGCAGATTACGTCTGATTTTTCGGGGAACATGGACACTTGCTTTATTTCATCTGGATGTGCTTCGTTAAGAGTCAAAATTAAACGTCTCATGAGCCATGATGATATATATCTGGTGTTCCTTTCCCATTTTCCTTTGTTTTCTTTTTCGGCTCTGGAGTGTAGAGTTCAGAAAAAGCTTTTCTTTCTGCGTGATTTTATTGGAGGCTTAGATTGAGCGCGTGCATGGAATGAATGAATGGATGGATGATGGGGATGGGCGTCAAAAATGCATGGTGGAGTATGGATTGCTTGATGATCAACAAATGGAGCATATCAGTTTAGTTCTCCTTCTTTGACTCTTAATTTGGTTTGCATGCATGGTATTTCAGCGGGTGGGATTTGGTTTATGATTTTTTTTTGAGTGGTGGGAATAGCGACATAACAATACTTGTGATGAACAGAAGAGTGATGGCATAGCATAGCATAGGGATACGAATAAAACCCCCATCAGGTATATGATGTGCAATTAATAGATAGTTAGATAGTGAAATTGAGAATTCTTGATTCAATCTTATGGGCTGCTTGATTTAGTGAGTGATTTACATGAGAGTTTGTGATTATACATTAATTATGATGCGCGGACTCGCAAAACGATGGATGATTTGGAGTGAATAACAGGGCAATGACATACTGGATATGAACTTTGTAAGCAATTCAGAGAAACCGATTTCAATAGAGGAGATTTGAGAGGGAATAGAGTTTCTGGGCTCACATCATCGGCTTCATTAGCAGTAGCTCAACTAATGCGGAAGAAAATTCACGGCACATGAAACGGGACGATCGAAGTGGACATTCTCCGCCACAAGATTCGGCTTGGAAACTCAAAATCAAAATCAAAAATCGACGAAAGGCGAAAGAGATGTTTTCTAGACTAGATACCGTAATTCGTAAAGGTTTATGCAGGTCTAAAACCGCGGAAAGCTTCCTGCTGGGTGCTAGGTATGTGTGCGGGGAAATATCCCCGGGGAGAAGGAAAGGATGGATGCTGAACTAGGAGGATCTGATATCGAGACACCAAAAAATTACTATTTGTACTGGTGTACCTCGAAGATATCAACAACTTCTTTAGATCTAGGAAGTGATGAATAAGCTCCCGGCATCGGAGGTCTAGATCGATCTTTGTGGGAATTCGAGAGAACTTATCTGTGATGTGTGTATAGGCTATACTCTGCGAATGTCCATCGATTCTTGAATAGTTGCTCTTCGCAGCATTAGTTTAATGCATCAATTTAGATCTAAATAAAGCTCATCAAGAGGTTAAAACCAGAAGACGAGGGTTAGATCAAAAGATCAGAAGATAGATAGCTACCTATTTTGATAATTCATTCGATCGGCTGATGTTGTGGGGGCAAAAAGGAAACGAGAATGTAGGAGGGTATGTACATGTACATACATGCATCTGATAACACTTTGCCACTGGCCCGGATTCCGATTTGAGGAGGTTCACCGGATGCGGATTGGGGATGGGAGATGGGGAATTGAGGACTGTAGTGTAGCTGTGTGCATACGTACGCAATGTGATATCCAATCTTATCATAGACTCTTCCTTGTGTGCTCAGGATATGTAAGTCAATACTTCGCCCCCTCACATCTTCGCCTCGAAGATTCCAGCGAATCTGCCTCGTATAGCTTGCGTAGTGGTACAGAATTTAACTTACAGTACACTTCATATGGTGGAAAGCCTTGATCGACTTTCCTGCTACATGACACCTCGCTGCTAGTTACCAGTATAAAACCCGATACTCCGGAGATCAGCGTGTAAAGTTTGCTCGCTGATTTGGTATTTGATATTGATGATTAGTATATAGTGGCAGCCTTGTGATAGTTCGAGATGAGCTGAACGGGGTCTGAGTATGCATACTGCGTACCTATGCAGGTGCGGGGCTCGGTAGTAATTGCGAATCGGAGTAAAACATTGTTTTGTTGGAGTACTTGGTTGTTGTCTCGATGATATTTGATGGATATATGGATAAATGGTTCAACGTTGTGAAGGAAGGAAGGTGTCTTTGCTAGGTAAAGACAAGCTTGACCTAGCAAGGAAGCCGTTGAACCCGGTTTTATTCTCCGACAATCATTCTCAGGTGTTTGAGGTTTCTGCTGCTAGTGAGGAGAACAGTACTACACAAACATCGTTCTACCCTGATTTCATCCATTTATCCTTGATGTCTATCACTTCTCCCCCTCTCGAGCTCCTCGCTCTTTCATCCCTTCCATTCTCACCAGCCCCAACCCAGAGCAAGCAAGCCACAGTGGCTCGGTAAATTACACGTGCATATCACGTGTAAGACTCAGTATGTTCAGCGGCTAAAAGATCCGGTACAGCGGGGCCAACCAATCGAAAGAATCTCGTCTAAGATCTGAAAACCCATGTTCATGTTTCAAAATGCGTCGAACGATCCTGGTTATTAATATATTTGACGGATATTATCTCTCCACATTAGATTAACTTTTTTCTGTAGAAATCCTGGGTATGATGATTTGGATGAATGGAAAGGAAAGAAATGGATTCATGTGGATGATTTGAATGTGTGGTGGAATCGATGGATGATTAGAATTATGAATGGAAATACATGAGGGGTATATGTTGAGATATATGAATTGGTGAAAGGGATACGGACAGGCGGTCCGCCAGCGTATGTTCTAAAGTGTTGAGGGGGAGAAGGATAGGAATTGTAGCTGCTGATTAATGGTTGGATGGGAGAATCGACTACACTTTTCCATGGAATGATGTCTGGAAATTGGTGAAGGGTTAGACATGAGAAGGGGGATTCAATAAAGCCGCCCCAAAAGCGAAGCGATGATAGGTAGAGTACCTATCGCTAATCCTTCATCTACCCCTTCATTCAAATATACACAACACACACTTACTCCTTTTCAAAAGAAACAAACACATCCAACATCTAACATCCAACATCCAACATCCGAATTCTGAGTTAGGATTCTAGATTCCCCGTTTCGTTTTTTCAATCTTCTATCCAATGCCAAGCACGGATAAACGCATCATAAACATAAGCAACAAACCCACTTCATGACCCGAATCAGATGAACTCAAACCAATTATTTTATATGAGACAATGATCATATCCGGTCCGTCCTGCCATGGACATCACCAAAACTTCATCTAATTTCTTCATGAATCTTCCGTTCTATACCCCAATTATACAACATGCATTGTTCATCTGACTTCATTCGGCGTTTACGCCTATATGGAATTTCCTAGTCAGGAATTGCCTAGGTGTGGGCGGTTAATGATTCCATATTTGATGATGGCACTTTAATTTGGGAAATTGGAGGTACGAACAAAAGTTTCCGAATAACGGGTGCTTAATTTGTTTCGTAGTAACTACCTAGGTAGGCTTCACTAAAATCGCCTTGCGAGGAAAATATACGATTCTCTATAATAACTTTGGATTTCCTCTCTCTGCGATTTCGATCTTTTCTTTGAACTTTGTCCTGTGTGCTATTCAGTTCGTTTCACTCTTTTAAACTTTGCTTTCTATTTTTCTACATTCTCTTTCTCAGACACAATTTTTATATATCCAGTGGATATTCAACAAGGTACTTGAAGTATCCATATAACAAAATCAAACACAATGCATTTTTCAAAGAAGGCTCTGGCAGCCCTTATTGGGTCTGCGACTAGCGCAAACGGTGCGATCTTGTGGGATGGACGATTCGATTCTTCTTCCATGGCAGATTTGGAAGCTTGGTCATGGAGTAACGCTGTTGGTGATTACCAAAATTATATCGTGAGTATATTTTGTAGGACTCCAGTGATATAAATGATATCTAACAAACAAATAGCATGGTACAGGTAACATTACCGATTATGTTGCTCTCGACAGCACTTACAAGAACCCTGCCGATTCCGGATCATCCCTCGGTGCCAAAATCACTCTTGATAGTACCTCATACTGGGAAGGTCAAACCATGCGTCGTACCGAATTGATTCCTCAAACCACCGCGGCTATTGGAAGTGGAAAGGTTTACTACCATTTCAGTATGAAGCGTGAAGATACCAATGCACCAAGTATCAACAGAGAACATCAAATCTGTTTCTTCGAGAGTCATTTCACAGAGATGAAGAGTGGTTGGATTAGTGGAGAGACTGGATCCAGTGATCCTCTTTTGAGATGGGAAGTCAGTGCGACTAGTCAATGGAGTACTAACTGGACTGCTGGTGTTTGGCACAACATTGCTTACGGAATTGTATGTTGGAATTCTTTCGATCTTTCTCATCATATACTAATATACTATTCAAGGATTTCTCCGCAGGCTCAGTTGAATTTTACCACTCCACCGGATCCGATGCTCTCACCCTTACCGTCCCAGCCGTTTCCGTTTCCGCCTCTTCCAACGGTGCAGACTGGCATTTGGGAGTTCTCGAACTCCCCGTTACCGGTCAAACTGACGGAACCGAAGATTTCTATTTCTCCGGTGTATACATCGAGAGTGGATCGCTTACCACTAGTGTTGCTGGACCAGATGGAGCCGTGGTTTCCAGTTCTTCTTCTTCTGCAACTACGTCAGTAGATTCTTCTTCTGTTGCATCTTCCAGTGCTGTTGTTTCTTCTTCGGTTCCTTCTAGCTCAGTAGTTTCTTCTGTCCTTTCTAGCTCAGTAGTTTCTTCTGTTCCAAGCTCGATTGTTTCTTCTTCCATTCCTTCTTCTAGCGCCACTCAGGAATCCTCATCATCGGTCATTCAATCTTCACCAACATCTATCGCCGTCGCAATTCAACAATCTTCAGTCATCTCCTCTCCATCAAGCTCGACCAAAAAATCCTGCACGAAAAAGGTCGCCTCCGCTACTCCCATCTCAAGTGTCGCAGCTCAACAATCATCCACCAAGAAATCTTGCACAAAGAAGGCTTCCGCTAGTGCAACTCAAGCTAGTGGATCCATCGTCGAATTCACCTCAACTCAAACTGTTACCTCTATCGATATCGTCCCTACTACCGTCTATGTTACCGCCGGAGGATCAACCTTCCTAACCACTTCTTCTATTTCCTCAACTTATACCTCTGAATCCGCCATTATCACCTCTTCTGTTATTTCCAATGCAGCTCCATCTACTTTTGTCACTTCTAAGAAGTCTTGCACAAAGAAGGCTTCTTCCGCTGCTGCAGTTGCATCAAGTTTGGCGGGAAATGTAAACGTAGCTGCTAGCTCTTCAATGATTCTAACTTCTGCGAGTGCTAGCTCAAAGCCACATACTACCGTCACCATGACCGTTACTCAAACCACTTCCACCACTGTCGCTTCGAGCGCGGGTGCTACCAGCACTGGAGGAAGCAGCTCGGGAGAGATCGCTTTGTATATGCAATGTGGAGGAAAGAACTGGACCGGAACTGGTACTTGCGTTAGTGGAAGTACCTGCACTGTCCAAAATGATTATTATAGTCAGTGTATTTCTGCTTAAAGTAGATAATTGAAAGAGGTTTAAGGGGATGGGAGAGAGGAGGAAAGTTCTATTCTGTTGTATATAGTTTGAGATGTTTGTACATGTCTATGTGATTCGAAATGAATAGTCGGAATCATATATATCTATTAAGTACATACTACATTACGTTGTTGCCCGTTCCAATTGGGTGGTGATTGTTATCGAATAGACAATATAGTGGTCGATTTTCTTCAAAAGACCCTTGAACCTTAAGATTTTCGAATAGTATGCTGAGATGAAAAGTACCCCGTGGGTTCATACACACACTGGTGATTCAACTTTCGAAATCTTGACAATTTCATTCTTCAATTGTTTGATTTCGGAATCTATCGTTTCATTGTTGAATCTCTATTGAAACATTGTAACAATTCTCAAGAGTTAGTGCAACACCCACTGATGGACATCTTGTTGCAAACGATTATGAATACCGAATATCGATTTTTTTGCAATGATATATTCTCTTCGATCACTCTGACTTACTTGTATCGAGTAAGAATTATAAAAAGACGGATCTCTCTCCGATTTTCTAGAGAAGCGATCATGTGAATATTTACTTCGTCTCACTCTCCACGTTGATTATATAGCCCAAATAAAATGAGAAAGACTCTCTAAGATACAAGGCCTGTGCCAACTGCTCCTTTCTTATGATGTGTGCTCATTTTCGGCCTCTTTTTGTTGTATGGGCATTCACCAGTACTTCAAACGCCCTGGATAATATTTGCATTTAAATTACAGACATGTCAAACTCACATACATATTTCTCGTTCTGGGATCGGCTCCCTTCTCTCATCTCAGGCATCAGATACAAGGAACGACAACTTGTGATTCTGGGACGTGCATCTCGCAGCAAGATGCAATACCAAGACCAACATACAAGAGCCAGAGGTATGTGTAATCACATCTTCGGTCAATAAATAGTGTATACGCGTTCAAAGCATTACTAACATTTCTTTCCTAGGCGAAAACATTTCAAGTGTAGCCACAACAGCTCCCCCGTCGGAGAACATCACTACGAGCTTAGATATGTCTACTGGTCCTTCCAAAGGCACGTTGCTCTCAGGCTCCACATTAAGAGACTGGAACTAGATGAAGTTAATCAATATACAGAGCCACATATCACTTTGACAATACCAGCTGCGTTCAAAAAAATGCTATGTTACTATCATTCACGGCAACACCACTTCAAACTATACGGTCAATGGTGAAGCCACTGCTTCCACACTTCAACACGCACCGGAGAAGATTTAGTTTAATGTTTTCGAGGATCTTTCTGTGAATCCAACAGAAAACAAAAAGTTATCGAAGTTTGGATCGATGGGTTGAGTGTTTAGCGCATGCGGACATACAATTCTCAAAGTAGACATCCTTTGTCAAAGGATTTGAAGTAGGGTTGTAGTCGATTTGATCCCAGATTTTACACGGAATGAAAAGTATGTGGGCTCTCGAACATAAATTTCATACCAAGCTCACACAAGTTCTAGACTATCACCAGCGAATGGGGGTCACCTTGATTATAAATCGGCTCGATGCATCCTTCGAATCTGAACATTCAACATCACTCTTTCAAGCTTTCCCACCCTTTCTTTCCGGTCTTCAGAATCAACATCTCTTTATATTACAAAAAGTTTCTCTTATGCAAGTGGTCGATCCGAGTATATGCGTGATCATTTATGGTTAAGCACTACAAAGGATATATCTCTAGTTCTACGCATCTTATTTTCTTTTCAACGAAAGGATTTTTGAAAAAAAAAAAAAACAGAAACCGAGTAAAACCTTAGTGATATTTTTTCTCAGGGGACGTATTGCGTGCAAGGCGAATATTGAGTAGAACTCAGATGGAGAAAGTTAGTTTAAACTTTCTAAAACCCCTTTCCCCAATCTGCTGTATCTGGTGCTTTTGCTTTCTTCTTGAACGTGAACATGATAACAATGGTACATTCTGAAACCCCATCACCGTTATGACTTCCGCATGTTGTATACCTCATATAAGATCATATGTAAGACCTATGATACGGCTCATCGGCTCAACGGAATCCGGCTCTCCACTACCATTCATGCAAACCTCCCCTGTCTCATCGAGTACAAAACCTACCCCAACCCACGTGTGTGCCCCCTTTAACTCTTTGCACTCAAACATCTTACATCATACTTGAGTCGTAGCACTATAAACCAAACAATTAGGCGTAGGATTACCAGGGCTTCTTAAAATCCTAGAGTCAGCTTCCAAAAAGGATTCGAGGACTAACCTCATTTGCTTTTCGCTTAATTGTAAATTTAAGGTTATTTAGAGGGTTTGATTGGTTTTGATTGGTTTTGGGCGTACGAATGGAGGTTTAATGAAATGAAATATTGATTTTTGTATTTTTGGATGACTTTTTATTATCAAAAGAAAAGTGTGCGATGAGAAGCTAGGAGATTTTGCATGGCCAGACTCTTCCCATGGAAATTCTAAGGGGTCTTCGGAGATTGAGATGTGGCGTTGTGGCTCACAAACTGTGGCATTGAACTAAGTCGAAACGCGTCACGTGCTTCACAGTAGTGCAAAGCTACTGTACCCCACATTGCTATCCACATCTCAACTGAACACAGCCTCTTATTTTTCTTCAACTCAATTGAATCAAGTAATCCACCACCTCATCCATATTCGTCCGACATAGATGGCATGGTACACTGATATGAGGTTACTGAAATATCCGATTCATCTATTTCATTTTGTTTCTTTTCAATGACGGATCTGCATGTTCCCCTTTATCACTTGCATGAAGCGCTGTTTGGAAAATAGTTCTTGGCTTTTCATTTATTCGATGAACTTCTCCTTGTCACCAACCTACGCCTCTCCGAACTTTTCTATTCAAAACAAAAATCCCATCATAAACGAAATTGGATGAAATGTAAGCGCGTCTATTTACCAATAGGAAAAATTGAAGCGAGCGATTTGTTTCATTAACATCGGATATCGGTCAAAGGTAGGCTTGGAACTTCGGATACAGTAGCATTTCATATACATGAAACGGGCAAAAGCTAACGTTTTTCGGGTATCCGCAGAAATCCGTAAAGCGTATTGCCTACACCGATTGGTTTCTCTCCAAACAGATCGCATAAACGACAAGCATCAATCTATCCGATCTTTGAACAAATCTGCGGGGTTAACTAGAGTTCATTTCCAAAATTGATTAAGGATCTTGTTCGGTGGAGTCAAATTGACAATGTTACTCCATAATTCAATACTAGTGGACTCAAATAAAGTTAACCGACTCCTTTGGAAACATGAATATTGAGCCTTGTCATCTCCGTTGACATTCTATCCACTTCGTCAATCATTACGATTAGTTCGCTTATGATTTTTTGCTTGTCCAGATCAAAAGTGGTCATTCCTTTCATCCCTTTTGGTAGATTTCTTCTATAGTGTTTTTACCTTGATTGAACGTTCGGCGGTTGGCTAAGTGGCCAAAATGAGCTAGATATTATGTCGCTCAATCTAATTCCCTGATCAATTTCTCAGAAGTTTATTTCGAATAAGGTAGAATAGATCCACTTCTATTCGACTCCTTTACTTACTTTTCAAGAATGAAGAAGTGTATATAAGGTAGTGAAGTACCTCGATGTATTAATTTTCTCATCATCACAGTCTTTGTACTTTTCTACATTCTTTTATTCTTGTCGCTCTTTCGCAACTCACATTCCTTATTTTCACTTTACATTTCTTCAAGATGTATTCCGCAGCTGTGCTCGCAACTTTCTCCTTCCTTCTCGGCGCCGGCGCTCAACAAGTTGGAACTTCAACCGCCGAAACTCACCCCGCCTTGACCGTTCAAAAATGTGCCGCTGGTGGAACATGTACCGATGAAGCCGATAGCATCGTTCTCGATGCTAACTGGAGATGGCTCCACTCCACCTCCGGATCCACCAACTGTTACACTGGTAACACTTGGGATGCCACTCTTTGCCCAGATGCCGCTACCTGTACCGCCAACTGTGCCCTGGATGGTGCCGATTACGAGGGAACATACGGTATCACCACCAGTGGTGACTCCTTGAAGCTTAGCTTCGTCACCGGAAGCAACGTTGGTTCCCGTACCTACCTCATGGACTCTGAGACTACCTACAAAGAGTTTGCTCTTTTGGGTAACGAGTTCACCTTCACCGTCGATGTTTCCCAGCTTCCTTGCGGTCTTAACGGTGCTCTTTACTTCGTTCCTATGGACGCTGACGGAGGAATGTCCAAGTACTCCACCAACAAAGCAGGTGCTAAGTACGGTACCGGTTACTGCGATGCTCAATGTCCTCAAGACATGAAATTCGTCAACGGTACTGCAAACGTTGAGGGATGGGTCCCTGATAGCAACAGTGCTAACTCTGGAACCGGTAACATCGGATCCTGCTGCTCCGAGTTCGATGTCTGGGAAGCCAACTCCATGGCCCAAGCTCTTACCCCTCACGTCTGCACTGTCGACTCCCAAACCGCTTGCACTGGTGATGACTGTGTCTCAAACACCGGTGTCTGTGATGGAGATGGATGTGACTTCAACCCATACAGAATGGGTAACACCACCTTCTATGGAAGTGGAATGACCATTGATACCACCAAGCCTTTCTCCGTTGTTACTCAATTCGTCACTGATGACGGAACTGAGACTGGTACCCTTACTGAGATCAAGCGTTTCTACGTTCAAGATGATGTCGTCTATGAACAGCCAAGCTCTGACATCTCTGGTGTTTCCGGTAACTCCATCACTGATGACTTCTGCGCTGCTCAAAAGACTGCTTTCGGTGACACCGATTACTTCACCCAAAACGGTGGTATGGCTGCTATGGGTAAGAAGATGGCTGATGGTATGGTTCTTGTTCTCTCCATCTGGGATGATTACAGCGTAAACATGCTCTGGCTCGACTCCGACTACCCAACCGACAAGGATGCCTCTACCCCAGGTGTTTCCCGTGGATCTTGCGCCACCGACTCTGGTGCCCCAGCTACCGTAGAGGCCGCTTCCGGATCTGCTTATGTTACTTTCTCTAGCATCAAGTACGGACCAATCGGATCTACCTTCAATGCCCCAGCCGATAGCTCTTCTTCTGTCACCCCAGTTTCAAGTGCTATTGCTTCAAGCTCAAGCTCTGCTTCAATCGCTCCAGTATCATCTGTCGTCGCTGCCGTTGTTTCTAGTTCCGCCCAAGCCGTTTCTAGCTCTGTTCCATCCGTTGCTAGCTCTGTCCAGGCCGTTTCTAGCGCCGCCCCAGTCGTTTCTAGTGCTGCCCCAGTCATCTCTAGCGCTGCTTCCTCCACCAAGTCCAAGTGTAGCAAGGTTAGCGCTTCAAGCACTCTCAAGACTTCTGTCGCCGCCGCTCCAGTCACTAGTTCCGTTGTTGCTACTAGCGCCGCTAGCTCTGCCGCTCCCGCTGTCTCTTCAGCTGCTTCATCCACTGGTTCCGTTCCTTTGTACGGTAACTGCACTGGTGGAAAGACCTGCTCTGAGGGTACCTGTGTCGTTCAAAATGACTACTACTCTCAATGTGTTGCTTCTTCTTAAGAAGTTGCAATACTTAGAGTATAGATAGTTGTAGATGTTGTCCAATCTTTGGGCAATGGTCCGGGAGATGAATTTTAAGTTCAAATTTTGTATATATTAGCAATTGGCGTGGTATATAGTTTATTGGTTGGTTGAAGATCCACTTTTAGAGATTAGGAAAACTAGAAATATAAGATATGTGGTTTTATAAAATTCTGAGACTTTTATTTGTATCTAGTGATTTTGTGACATGATGCTATGGGACTTGTATTATTTCTCTCTTCACATTATTACTCGAAGGACTCGAAACTTTGGCCGATTCGACTTTATTTGACTCCTAGGCCTCTTATAACTATTGGGATACCTCAAAATGCAGGAAAAAGAACTTGGTCTAAAAAATCATATCAACACACAATCTCCCTTCTTCCTCCACTCAATTGAATATCATCTGATATTTTTCTCAAGCGCTCCTTCTATTTGTTGCCTTTTCTTCTATTAGTGTTTCTCTCTTTCTCGAATGCGATGTGTCTTATCTTTTCCTTGCTTTCTTTCTTTCTTATCTGTTTTTCGTATCGACATGAAGGAGAACGTGAGGGGTTGTCTATGTATTTCTGTGTTTTTTGGAGATAGGTGGATGGGTGGATAGGTAGATGGAGGAGGACCTTGGATCTGGATGTGGATTTGGTTGTGGTTGTGGTTGATGTTAATGTTAATGGGGGGTTTGAATTTAGATAAAGGTTGGAGACTGGAGATTGATATGAAAGTTTGGATCTGGATGGAGATTTAAATTTGGAGATTGTGATCTATTATTCGGCATGGATGAATGAGAAGATAGATGCATGTGGTGAGAGAGGGGAGAGGGGGAAGGGGGGATAGGTATACTATTAATTCAAAGTTTATGGTTTGAAGTTTGAAGTTTGGAGTTTAGATTATAAACCTAAATGTTGGAAAGAGAAAAAGGAGAGAGATTGAATGTTTGGGATGAGGAGGATCTGGGATATTTCGAGATGTGGATGGTTTGAAAGGTTTGAAAGATTTGAGAGTCTTGAATGTCTTGAATGTCTTGAATGTCTTAAGTGATTAGAATAATTATAATGATTGGAATCACCTCTGTCCTATTGCAAACAATTACAGGAGGTATGGAAGTGGATCTGACCAGATTTCTCACCTTAATCAAATTCACTTTTGAAAGTGAATTTAGTCGATGTCCTGCGTGATTTATGGGCTTAATTTAGGCAGCTGTTGCTAGCTCGTCGTCGCTAAGTGAATGAAGCTGAATCGTTTCTCCCACAAAAACAATTCAAAAAGACGCGATCTTGTTTTGATTTCTTTCAATTACCACCCACATCCAAAATTCCTTCAACCACAATTACTTCCAACTCATTAATTCTTTACATTGATTTGGATTACTCTCTCTGCTCTCCATTACAATCAGTGATCCTTTCTTGAAAGATGGATTACGAAAAACCAGAGACGGCAACCTTCAAATGTGTTGTTGATACGCTTAACCTTCGCGTTTCTGAAGATGGTCACTTCAATCCTGAACCTAGCTTGTCAAAGGCAATTCAAGACGAGCTTGCAGATGTTGAACATGCCGACAAGCCTTTCGGTGCTTTGTTTAATGTCAATCCTCCTCCTCCAGAGTACGACCAGCAAGGAAATGTAACGAACGCGCCAAAGCCTTTCACTCTCACACCTCATCAATTGGAAGCTAGCACGAAGCGTAGCTACCAACCACTTGACAGAGTCAACACTTCAATCGGATTCTCTACACACAAGACCGAGAGAAACTTCATCTTTTTGCGGGTCGGCATTCCTTTTGAGCAGATTCCAGACACAGTCGATCCTAAAACGCATACCGCTGATGGTTTCGTCGTCAAACTCAAGTTCTACGCAAATAACATGATCGGTCTTGACTCACCTCTTTCCTCCCTCGAAGAAAGTGACAACCCAAACAACATCTTCACCACCAACGATGACGATGAAGAGGTTTTCAACAAATACATCACTGAGGACATTCCCAATATCGTTCTCAAGACACCTGGGTATGACCGTATTGGAAAGAACGGCAAACCAAAAGCAAAATTTGGTGTCTTTCGTTTGAAACTAAATGTCAAGGATATCGCGTCTGCCATTAGTGAGAACTTGATTCATTCCACTACCTGGCCAGCTGCTCCATGGGCTCCTCGTCGTGTTATTAAATTCCTTCAGTTCATCATGTCACAACACACGTTCTCACTTCCAATTTACATCATGGATACAGCGGGTGGCAATTTTCAGAATTGCTTGATTGAGTGCCTTCGTGGTATGCGAAAGGAGCTACGTGAGGGCAATCCTTTTCGTGGATACCTTTCTCAAAACTTCAAGACCAACGGCAACGTACCTACGATTGATTCAGATACCTCCATCAAGGATGCGAGATCAAGTCCTAACATCGTCACCCAGAAGCAATTGCAATACTGTACAAAGGAGGAGATGATCACCCGCCTTGCTGTTGGTACGAAGCAACAACTTGAAGATCGTCGTGCAAAAATCGTCAAGTTCCGCGCTTTGAAGCAAGCCATCAGATTGGTGAAGATCGTCGATGATTCTGCATATTATGTTTTCTTCAAGGCACCGCAGGACTTGAGACTACAAGCCGGTGACGTTTTGAAGGTCAACTTTTCTCCAGATAATCCAATTAGGAAGGAGGATTGGAATCTCACCATATGCGAGTCCTTCGACTGGTCGTACCAAGGAGAATCCATTGGGATCTTGAAACGACCCTTGGTCCCACTCGATGATGCTGCTACTGAAGAGGAAACGAATGCTTTACCAGATTCCGAGTTCCAGAGATGAGTTCTGCCAACAGAGTACTTGAAAAATTCTTGTCGAATGATGTGTCGTTCAAAGCAGCAGCATTGAAGTACAAAACATACTCTGAACAAGGAAAGAAGATGGAGCATGAAGCAGTTCGTGAGTTATTCAAAGATTTGCTGCCAAATGCGATCAAGAACGCAAGACAAAGCGCAAATGTTGTCTTGACAACTCCATCTCAAACTGCTACCACAAAGTTCATGAACCAATTCCGACAACTTCATGCACTCTTAATTGATGAGGCTGGTCTTGCTACACTCATCGATCTAATCATGCTTCTTTGTACACTTGAGACGGAGTCACTTGTCTTGTTCGGCGACACCAAGCAGCTTACTCCCCAAGCTCCTCTTATTAAAGGTTCCCAGGGCTTGTCTTGTGAAACATCCCAAGGTATCATGACCTACTTCCTAGACAATCATTGGCCCAAGGCTAGCCTTAACATCCAACGCAGAGGTTGTCCTGGAATCATGGAGGTTGCATCGGAGTTGTTTTACCGCAAGCAGATCCAAGATGCACCTGTTGCACCAGCCCAATTCCCACTCCGTGATATGGTTGCCCATGCTCTAAGATTGATCTTCCTAGAGAATACTATCTCAAAGCCGTATTTGTATATCAATGCAGTACACGAAGGCGAGATCGTGGACCATTCAACCAAGTCCTGGATGAATCTGACCAGTGCTGCTGTTAATGTTAACTTAATAGAATATCTCATTACCAAATGCAACGTTCCCCCAAGCTCAATGATTGTCATCACTCATTACACCGCCCAGCTTCGTGTATACAGACACGCGATTTCCAAGTTGGCGAGTGACTATCCTGAGTTCCATTTCTCTTAATTCGAAGTTCACACGACGGATAGCATCCAAGGTGGTTCTGCAGACATCACATTTTCTGATCCTGTCCGTACCCAAAATCCAGGATTCACCAACAACCCTGGTAGAAATTGTGTTGCACTCACTCGAGCTCGTTCTTTTCAGATCATCACTGCCAATACGCGACAGTTGAAGACTTATAGTAGAAGCGCTCCTATCATTTTCAAAGCTTTTGAAATCGCTCAGAAGGCCAAGGCTTGTGTCAACATCAGCAAGAGTATGGATGCACGTTACTCCAACCTTCTTTTGCATCGCCACGTTCACGCTGTCGGGGGTGCACGTGTGTAGAACACGTGATGAGCGTTGGAGCTAAGAAGGCTCGGAGGATATAAATACGGTTTCCCTTTTGTAGCTTAGCTCTGCTTTCTTCAATAATCAATGAAACTATTCAATTCTCATAGTTCTTTGATGCCTTTACTTCGTGACAAGACCTAGATCTTCTGATAAATGTTTCTAATCTTTTCAATGTTTTCGATATTTCAATTCATTCCCATCTTCTAGATTATTCCAATCATTCCAATCATTCCAATCATTCCAATCATCTAAATCTTTCAAATCTTTCTATATAATAAAAAGCTGTCTAATTCTAGCTGTAGAAGCTGTAATATTTACGGTAGGGGTTATTGCCTGTATTGAATATATATATGCAACGTAGTTTCCCTAGTAGCATGCATCCTACACTAAAACTGGCAGGTACATATATAGAAAAACACACTTATCAAAATCTATCTCATATAGCCCCATCCTCAGTCTTCCAGATGAAGATGCCATATCAAAGTTCCTCGAATCACCTCAATTCTTGCCGATTTTCAAGGAGCTGCATGTGTGAAGGAGCGATGCGTGAAAGTCACGTGGTGCCAAGCACCAGTCTAACGTCCAGAAAATCCTCCAGATTCTCTTGTAGATCTTCATAGAATTCTATCTACTGTTACTTGAACCCTGATTTTCCGTGCACACCCACACATTATGATACCGCTATCTACCCAAGAATATTGACCGCCCCAAAATGGAAAGGACCATCCCTTAAGAGTGTTTAGCAAACCATTGCCGATAGCGAAAACTATGGAGATCAGACATATCCGACTCTGCGTGTCGATAAGTCGGAATTGGATAAAATAGATCATTATGCGTTTTGTCTACTTAGACTTTGTTTCGATAACACTCATGCGAGGAACGGTTTATTTCGAGACAAGCAGGTGGGTATCTCAGAGAAAGAGGTCAGACTTGGATGTGCATAGTAGCAGCAACAGCAAAGGCAAATCGGAAAATTGCCGCTGCCAAAAAAGACGCAAAGCAGGTGACCCATTTATGATCACCGAAGGTTCTCTGCTCTATGACCCATCTTAAATTAACATCTTTGGAGATAACACACGAAGTGTCCTCAATAAACGCGCTTCTTCTGCACATAAAGCCCAGAAGAACTCGATCGACGGCTCTCCACGTTTCCCTTCAGAGACTTCAGTGTCAGACTATCCAATAGTCCGGACTGCAGTCCAACAATATAAGGATTTGAATGTCTAAAAGCAATTAGAAATTTGAAAATAGTTCAATGTCCCAATCAAATTCAAACTCTCGGATAACTTGAATATTCTAATTGGTTTGAGGATTTGATGATCTTTGTTGTTGAACTACATTACGGACTATTAGACACCCTGGATCACTTCACTATCTCCAATTTCCAATCTGGCGGCAGAAATTGCGAACATCGCTTCAGTCTTCGATCAACCACCTCTCCCTTTCAATCTACCCCGCAAATCTCCTCCTTCGACCGGTCTTAAGTTGGCATGGTGTAAAATCACCCGAAATCCAAAAAATTTGCTCGATTTAACGACACCTTTCGAAAAGTATTTGATCATACAAGTAACGTTGAAATATTTTAACGACAAGATGAAGATGAAGTTGAAGGAGCTTGTCACTCAAGCCAAGCGCAATGCAGATTTGAACGCCAAAGAGGAGATGGCTATTTCTGTACGATTAGACAACACAGTGATAGTCGCTAGTATCTGGAAGCTTGGTTCAAGCCAGGTCACCGAAGTAGGGGCCATTGTGTCCGAAATTTTCAGTACATGGCTTCGTCAACGATGTCACACTCGAGGAGACCTGCCAAGTTAAACTCCCACTGCGAATCATTGGTTGCTTGTTTTCCAGCGAAGCTCTTCTTAGCAAGCCTGAAAGTTTTCAATGCCGAAGATCCATGGCGGTTTCTTAATGTGACCAAGGTGGTAATCACCACAACTACTGGATTTTTTCTGTTTGCTATTGAATAACGGATATCGGATGGCGACGTGTGAGCTTTCCGGCAATCTTTTTGTGAGTTCCAGGTCTCGATTTGCGTTCGTCACCATGGTCGATGTATACCTGGAAGTCAGAACTGAGACTTCTGATCCATTTCGCCGCTGCTCGATCAGTTCAGGTAAGACGTCAAGCATCTTAGGCTTCGGAGGTGCTGGCTTAAGTGGTTCTTCGGGTACTTTACGGATTATCATCCACCATACTTCACAAATTGTGACTGTCTTAACAAGGCCAGTAGCATCTCCGAGGAGACACATTTTGACCTTTGGGTTCTCCAATATTCTAAGTAGCTGTCTCATGCCAGTTACCTGCCAACTCTGAAGAAAAAACAGATGGCTTGTTGATCGAGAAAACGATATTGATATGAAGTGAAGCCAAAGTACTTGCAATCATCCTCATAATTGCGCGGTTGATAGTCTGGATTGTCTAACAAGGCTTCCAGTGTGGCCGCTGCACTGAGAGCCGTAAATGTTGGTGGTTATGAAGCAAAATGCGATCATGAGAGGCTCAACACAGTAATTTCCTTGTCCAGCAATGCCTATCGAAGATTTTGGAGGTTACATGAAGTTCATCGCAATAGACGAGAATATGTGGAGCCGTAAGAACTTGACTAAATGGGGTTTGATGAAAAAGCGATTTCAATCCATCTACCTTGGCACATGATCATCCCGGTGCCGCATTATGCCTAGGAGCTTCAGAAGGAGAACCGAAATTCCGGGTGTTACCTATCAAAATGACGGAAAGATGTAATGATCAGACACCCTTATGCTTCACTGAATCTCTGCTTTCCGGGAGGGGGTAATAATAGAGTACTTTTAATACTTTTGACTCTTCTAAAAGATTTAGAATATTCAAGAGATTCTAATCATTTCCATACTCTCAGTACATTACTTTGATTCAACTTTGATCCAACTCTACAATTTGATATTACTGTACAGACCTTATGTACTTTCTAGACAAATCAGCTTCCAATAACGATTGGTGTTCCAAAATATGTATGTTAGGATAAGGTAGGAGGATGTGACACTTGGGGAAATCGCTAACTTTCAATAATCGCGGACTAAATAGATAGGCAGAAAAATGCAATAGCGATTGTTCAAGTTTCGTAAGTGTATCAATGATATCAGTTGACTGTTGATTGAAGATAAATAATGCTCGAAAATGAAATTCTTCGCTATCTTTTTTTGACAACTAGGCATAAGAAGGAAATTCTTGGTATTTGTTCACAGCAGCATGGCTTCCTCTTAGCGGCGATACTGTTTTCAAGTTTCTTTGATGCAAACTAGAGAATCGCCGATTGATGCCCAATACTCTTTCCATGAGCTGGAAAGAAGATTGTCGATTTCCTTTGGCTCTTTGTATCATACATCGCAACCGTTCTCGTGATGCCCAGAGGCTTAGGTTCGGGAATGCCGAATGCTGAGTCTCGGTCCTTGGCCCGTAAAGTTGCAAACTCCTTGACGATTTTCTCGTTATAGTACCCCGAACTTCAACCATTTAAGTATTTCCGATTCTTAGTTAGAGATCCGGAGGTTGACTCCAAGGATAGCGCTCGGTTCCTGGATTCGAATTGACGGGAACAACAGAAATATCAAGTTTAGTGACGAGAATAGCGCGATAGAAACCAAGTTGAGAAAAGTAGGACCCTTAAAAATGGCTCAGAGAAGCAAGGCTATATGATAAAGTGAGATCGCTCCCGTAGCCAATCGTTCGTAATCGAAGAGAGCTTAACATACTTCAAAAGCAAAATTCCAAATTGTACAAATTTCCGTCCGAAATTTTTCATCACTTGCTCCTGGTGACTAGGATGCAAGGGAGATCAGCTTTGAAGTCTTTGACTTGTGCCTTACAGGGTGTGCTTGATGTTGAACATATATCATTTCGAGCTCACGCGTCTTTGAAAAAGGCCAGTGCCATACTCCATATCCCATGTTATAACTGGCAAAAGACCCGTAAACAATGCCTCAACCTTCCATACGCGCAATCGGCCAGATCCCGTGGACTTACGAGAATAGCTTTTATCATAAACATCTGGATTACCCAATGGCCTACCAATCCGTGAACTCTTTTCAACATAATACAAACACGTGTACATGCCTCCAAGTTTAGTCTCTGACGGGTCCAAGATAATGATAGGCAAAGTCTTTGTATCATCTGGTATCAGATGAAAATCGAAATAGTACATAACATTCTAGAGATTCAGTGCAAGGTGAACTGCGATATATATATTTTTATTTTTTATTTTTATCTTTATAAACATGTCATTTTATCTCGTTATCGAATCTAGATTTATATATTCAGAAATGCTACGGGATATGTCAATCCAGACTATTAGGAATGACGGCCCAAATCTAAGTTCCATATCGAGGGATGCATAACACAAAGATAAAAGGTTAGCGAAGAGCATGCTCTTGGAACTATGTTGACTTGGAAGCTTCAAAGCGAATGGTCTCATGATACCTTGAAATCAATTTCCTGTTAATGATTTGTGCCGGTTGATGTGGAGTGAAAGGTGATATCAAACATAGTTTTGGCAAGAGCGGCGGAGGGGCAAGTTTAAACCAAAGGCCAGGTCGCCGGAGAAGAGAAAAGTATCATTGTAGTCTGTAAAGAAGACGTCGGGATGTGGACTTAGTATTGTGAAATTTTAGCTGGAGTAAAAAAGACTCAATTAAATTCAGATAGAGCACAGGAAAGAAAATAAATGCCAAGGCGGACTGCAATATCTACACATATTTCACCGCAGCAAACTATATGTTTAAAGAGTCGATATAGATTTGCCTATTATCCAAGTTTTATCTTATTCATCTGCTAGACTGGTCCGGATAACGATGAACAGGATACAGTGTCGCGCAGAAGAGTATCTTCGGTACTTGATATGACTATATCGCTAGTAGATGAATATAAAAATGATTTACACGAAGTGTACACAGAATGTATTGTTCTAATTGAGTTCATCTAGCAAATGGAATCACAACTCAGAAAGTACCTGAGCTAACCAGATACGCACAAGACATGACTAAGTAAAACGATGACGATGATTACTACAACCTTGGAAGGAAGAATGGAACCTTAACCGGCACTACCGTTTTCGGTTCGGGAGCTGGTTCCATTTTCAATCGTGCAGCACGTGACTTGGAAATACCCAATGGGGAAATTCCTTTCAACAATGGGAATGGGATGAAGCAGGATGCAGGATGCAGGAGAAAACTTGCTGAGCTTGATGAAAACCGCGAAAATATAGCAGAAACTGTTGAAATATGACAAATGATGAACACGTGCGGCTTTCAATGCACAACCAGCTGGAATTGTGGCCTTTTTCACAGAAGGAAACATGACACGATACGTAGGTATATCAGATCTCAACACTTTCTTCCAACATACCAATCCTTCTCCATGTTATTTCATGCATACTTTGAAGTTCGACGGTGAACTGCGAATTTGCGCAGTAGGCGTGTTCACGTTGACAACAACGTCTCGTTGTTGGCCTTGCCCAGAATGTTCTAGAGTACCTAGTAGGCATGAATGTGTTGGTTCCATGCCCGTCTTCATGCTGGACGTGTACGGTCCCATGCTATTGGAGGAGGTTTGAGTATGAATCGCGATTCATATACAAGGAGGCGATGCAGGTCTACGATCGGTTTGAGGATATAACTTTGCTCCTGGGGATAACAACGATATTATATAAATAGTAAACTTCAGACAAGATAGATATGGTTGGTGGTGATCGTTTGAAAATGATCCATTCATCAATGATTGATCAATCATTTCATTGCCCCAGGTTTTCCGTGGTGGTGATGTGGTTCACCGTTCACCATTGTGGTCGAGTGCTTACTAATGTCATGGATTATCGGTCTTCAATCGAATCTTCCACCGAAGAAATCGAAAAGCGCAAGGTAACCTTAACCTATCTTGGATTTCAGCCTCTGATAAACTTTAATGCTTAATTCTACACAAGTCAAGAGCTATCAACCACATCATACCTTCTTCTAATCTCAACACATACAATCCCGGTGTGCAGGTTTCGCCTTTTTACAATTCCCTCTACATCAGAACATAGAAGTAGATCCCGGTCGCTATCGCACATAACTTTCCATTGAGCGCGGGCGCTGCATCATACCCCGTTTTGGACGCCACTGCATGATCTGTCACGAATTCTTTCCCTTGACTACTTTCCTAAGATCGCCCATCAACCCGTCAAACCTCAGCCGATACGTTCAATAGCTCTTCGAAATGGGTTCCCGCCAACGCAGAGATTTGGTTGCAAGACGAAGGCGGGTTGAGGACGAAGGCGATGATGAAGGAGCTCAAGATATTGCTGAACTTGATGATGACTCTTTGTCAGAAGGCTCGATAATTAGTGAGGATGAAGATATTCACGAGGGCGACGAACCCATCAATGGCGGCATTGCAAATAATGAGGCGTCTGATTCGAACAAGATGAACGGGAATGGATCTAAGCTGAATGGTGGACAAACAAAAGCTAGCAATGGTACTACTGAAGCTTCAAAGTTCATAAATGGTGCCAATGATATGGAAATGATGGTTAACGGACCCAAAAGCTCTGAGCCGGTACAAACAGTACAATTTGAAGACTTTCGAGAAGACGAGACCAAAGATACCCCTTCACCGGCCATCGTCACATCTACTGCTCAAATGGATCGACAACAAGAACAGCCTCATGAAAGACGGAGGAGAGAACATGAAGAATACAAGAAAAAGAGAGATGCGGATCCAGCGTTTGTGCCGAATAGAGGAGCATTCTTTATGCACGACCATCGTCATGCTGGTCCTGCGGCGAATGGTTTTAGGCCATTTGGCAGGGGCAGAGGTGGTCGGGGTCGGCCCGGTATTGGAGGGCCATATGCACCTATCAAGTATATCATCATCATCTCTTTCGTGCTTTTGCAATTTTGCTAACGTTATATAGTCACATTTCACAACCTCTGGAACCCACCGACGTTCAATGGGCACACGACATGCACGAAGTAATCACTGAACCCGTACCAACATCTACAAATGGAGCTTCGAATGGATCCCAAAGATCAGCTCCAGCTCCAAAATCCGCACCTCTCAATCGATCACTTTCCACTACGAAGCACATTGGAAATGTACAAATCCGTGTGTTCTTTGGAGATATGGAAAACCCTGTGTTATTCCCTGGAATTCCAGTGAAGCAATATACGCGTCTACCTGATCATCGACCACCACTTCGTCGAGATAAACCTGTTCGAATATCGTTACCTGACCATCCACCACGTTACATATTCCCTGCTGTCGATAGATCATTCATATTTATCCCAAGAGCTATGCGACCTAATCAACAAGGGTTTGGTGGACGTGGCAGAGGCAGAGCTGGTCTGGGATCCGTCGGTGGTTATTCGAGACGTACGAGCGTTTTTGGTGGTAGCGTTTACGGAAGTACTTACACTCCAAGCGTTGCCATGAGTCGTCGTTCGTCCCTGGCACGAGAGGTCAATCGAGAAACTCTTGTTTCACCCAGTGGATCAACAATGTCTAGGCCACAAATATCGATGG